AGTGAATACCATAATTTCCATTCATGGTGCTGACTTTATCTTTGATTTACTAGGATTAAACATGAAACATGAAACGACAACAAAGAAATATTTAGATCAGATTTAACCCCACATGTAGATTTGCACACTTTATAAGGCCACAAAAACTCATTTTATCAATTTATAAAATGTCCCATGAGCCTTTGCTACTTGAGCGTATGGCAGACTTTCTCCAAGTGCACAGACTAAAACAAAAGAGGGCCATTGCACAGCTCAATTGTTAAAAATAAAGGACTTTACTTTAAAAAGTATTTGTATTTCATMTATTATATAACTGCATTTGGCCCGCAGTCATGGATAGATTTTCATTTTGGCCCCCTCGGGGGAAATGTTTGGCCACCCCTGTTCTACACGCTACACATCGTGAAAATTTGGGACTGTTTCTTTTAAGAACAATAATTAGCTAAAAGTTACAGTAAAATATGGCTGTGCCATCATAAAATACTGTATGTGATGAAAACATGCTGCTCTTTGAAGCAGCTCTAAGTRGAGATTTTGGTGAAAACCTGAACTAATCCTTCAGGACTAGAAGCTGGCTTGAATGAGCCGGTTAGAGCAACAGATGACAGCTGTTTACAAGTTAAAAGGCTTGTTCAAGCTCAGCTTACAGCTCATATCCTGGATTTATAAATCTGACTTTTGTGAAATGAACACCTGATCTTATTTATATAAACCTGGAGCTTATTGTTGATAATTATTGTTTTGATTAACTAAATACGGCCTATAAATAAAAGCTTGGTAATTATTTGTATTGTTTTTAATTACTCATACAGTTTATAGAATAAAAAAAACAGGATTTGAACCGAGTTCTACCACATCTGATTTATGATACACATCCATCACTCCAACATAACCACATACTAATGTGTTATAAACAAACACTTCAGTTTTCCTCCACATATTGATACCAAACTAAAATATTAAACAGAAGCTAATTATTAAACAGGATCATTACAGAAATATTATTTTAAAAGAATGAGAAAAATAAAAATGCTCGTGCAGTTGGGGGGCTTAAAGATAATTTTTTATATAAAAATAGGATTATTTCAGCTGAGATGGGCTTCAGTTTGTTGCTCCTCTTTGCTGCTAACTCTCCGGTTTGAAGACTTTCATGTGGCACCTCTAAAAAACCAGGGCTTTCACATGAATCACACTGTGACGTAACGAGGCCTCGTTCGGWGTAGTCACGTGATCATGAGAGGACACTTCTGTTGCATTTGCTCAAAACAGTGTCGAGCATAACATCACTATTGTCAATTAATAAACAACCTATCAGACCTTTAACTTGGACTTTATTCCTAATAATCACCACTTAGTGATGCTAAATACAGACAAATGCAAGTGTCATTTTTTAAGTATTTATGTAGATTCAAAACCTCTTTCAAACCATCTAGCAAAAGCTGCTGAAAACAAAGTTTGCAAGAACATGAGGAAAACCTGCACAAATATCCAAAAAACACAAGAGGAGGGAAATAAAATGACTAATAATCTTAAAAATAAATTGTCCTTAATAAGTCCTGATTTAAGTAAATAAACATGAACTTTTAGGTTTTAGGTACTGAATCAGCAATTAGGTTCATAAAACCTTCCTTGATGAATAAGTAGAGTAAAAACAACAAACAGTAACAATGTTATGGGGTGCCGTTTGTAAAGTTACACAGTCAAAAATTACCACCAATATTTTTGTATAATTTAGCCTTTTATAAGAAAACGAACAGATTTATTTTTCAAAGTCAGTTTTTCACCATATGATTCATACATTTATAAATGTCATAGTTTATAAACTAAATATTTAAATCACAAGTTAAATATTTAGCTTGTTAACTAAATATTTAATTTGTAAGTTAAATATTTAGTTTATAAACAATGACATTCATAAATGTATGAATCATATGGTGAAAAACTGACTTTGAAAAATAAATCTGTTCTTGTTTTTCTTATAAAAGGCTAAATAAYACAAAAATATTGGTGGTAATTTTTGACTGTGTAACTTTACAAACGGCACCCCATATAATGTTGCAGAGCGTGTTAATATTTAAAATAAACAGCTACCYGACCTTCTGGCTTGGCATTAACACATTTTGTCTCAACAATTAAATAAATACAAACTTCCACTAAGTGTCTAAACACTGAACACAAACATTCAGTGCATTTTAAAATTCACAGTTAAGCAAACCAGTGCATTAAAAAGAACTCAAACAGTGACTCAAATACAGTTAACTAATTAAATACATTAAAACAAAGTGCTTGTTTTACAGAAAATAACCCAATATAACACATCTAGTAACAACTCTGCACATAGCTTATGTTTCTCTTACAGCAGTGCCATAATAATAAGTCAGATGGCGTTAGTGTTTTGACTCAACTCACTATAATAATGGATAAAACGTATGAAGTTTAGAAGGTTGGAAGTATTATTGCACCTTTCGTCCCCCTCTGTCCTCAGATAACTGGGTTCAGGGCGTCGTAGAGCCGCTGCACTGCCASTTCCACCATCTCTCTCAAAGAGTCGTCCTCCGTGCTTTCGTCCTCGTAGTACGCCGACTGGAGGGAGGGAGGAGAGAGAAGGCGGCGGTTAAATCCAGCAGCCTGTGGACCGGACTGTGTGTCGGAGTCGGAGCCTCTTACCCGRGTTTCCAGGCTGATGAGAACCGTTTTCCCGTCTACTGTCACAGAAATGATATTACCGTCGCTGAAGTCCACGCATTCCACTCCGAACATGTCTCTGAACACAGATGGGACACGCAAGCAGTTAGTTTTTAATTAAAGCTTGGACTTGGCCTTTCTTATAAACGTGAGGAGGTTTGAAGYCAGGACTCACTGCAACATGACCTCTAATCGAGTTTGGAATACGTCCATGTCCATTATGGCGCTCTGGGTCTCCATCACTGCTTGTTCAACACAAAGTGGATCACTGATTTCAAAATATTTAACAATAGAAGTACTTTTTTTTTAAAGGGATCCATGATTAGTTGTAACATTAGACTTTATTTGATAAACATGTATTT